CCAATCAGATTTGGCTGACAAGTCGATTGTAGGAAGCTTAATGAACGAGCTTACTACAAGAAAGTTTAACTGGTCTCAGCCAATCCATGATCATGTGACACACATGTGTAACTTGAAAAAGTTAACGACCTTGGGAATAGAGGTTCATGAACAGTTCTTGGTCCAATTCATCATGAACTCTCTAGCTTTTGAGTTTAGCCAGTTCCAGATGAATTACAACACCATTAAGGATAAGTGGAACTTTAAAGAGTTAAAGGTTATGTTGGTTCAAGAGGAAGAGAGATTATAGAAGATGAAAGATCAAGTTGCGAACCTCGTATGTCTTGGAAGTGCCAGCAGCAATAAAGGAAAACCAAGTAGAAAGGACAAAGGAAAGGCTTTCATGAAAGGAACTGAAAGTAAAATCCATAAGAAAAAGAAGTGTTTCTTTTGCAAGCAAATAGGACACTTCAAGAAAGATTGTCCGAAAAGAAAGACATGGTTTGATAAGAAATGTAAACATCAGGTTTATGTTTGCTCTGCATTGAACCTTATAGAAGTGTCTAATAATACTTGGTGGTTAAATTCTGGTGCCACTACTCATGTGTCTCATATTAAATAGGAATTCAGTTCGATCCAACCCATAAGAGGACCTGAACAGTATTTGTTCATGGGAAACATGATGAAGGCAAGGATAGAACGCATTGGGACATATAGATTGATCATGGACACTAAGTCTCATTTGGATCTTGAAGTGTGTCTTTATATACCTGAATGTGCTAGAAATCTTGTTTCCATAAGTAGATTGGACAATTTTAGGTTTTGACTTTAGGGTTGGACATGTTGTTTTCTCATTTTACCGGAATGATTACTTTTATGGTAATGGTACTTTTTTTGATTCACTGTACAAGTTTAATCTTGATTCAAAGTTCTCTGAATCCTTATTTAATATTGAAAGTCGAGGCATTAAGCGTAGTGCATCTGATGAAAGTTCTGCTTTCTTGTGGCATCAAAGATTAGGTCATATTTCCAAAGAAAGAATGATGAGGTTGGTAAATAATGAAATTATTTGCTCAATTGGATTTCAGTGACCTAAATATATGCATAGATTGCATTAAAAGAAAGCAAACTAAGCATATTGTAAAGAAATCAGCCACTAGAAGCACTCAACTTCTTTAGTTAATACAAACCGATATATGTGGCCCTTTTGATGCTCCTTCTTGGAGCGGTAAAAAGTACTTTATCACATTTATCAATGATTACTCACGTTATGGTTATACATATCTACTGCATGAAAAGTCTAAGTCAGTGAATGTCTTAGAGGTATTCATTGATGAAGTGGAAAGGCAGTTAGATAGAAATGTAAAGGTTGTGAGATCAGATAGAGGTGGTGAGTTTTATGGAAAATTTTATGAAAGTGAACAATATCCAAGTTCATTTGCAAAGTTACTTGAAAGAAAAGGTATTTGTGCACAGTATACAATGCCTGGTACACCTCAGCAGAATGGTGTAGCTGAGAGGCGGAATTGTACTTTTGTTCTTTACCTCTTTCTTTGTGGGTATATGCATTAAAGACTGCAACGTATGTTCTTAACCGAGATCCTAGTATGGCAGTTCCTAAGACCCCTTATGAACTGTGGATGGAAAGGAAACCTAGCTTAAGACATTTACGTGTTAGGGGTTGTCCAGCAGAATTAAGGCTATATAATCCACATGAAAAGAAACTTGATTCTAGGACTGTCAGTGGATTTATCATTGGTTATCCTGAAAAATCAAAGGGGTATACATTTTACTGTCCTAGCCATAGTACGAGAATAGTTGAAACGGGTAATGCTCGGTTCATTGAGAATGGGGAAACTAGTGGGATTGGAGAACCAAGAAAGGTTGACATTCAAGAAATACAAGTTGAAGTCCCTCCACTTGATACTGTACCTAAGGTTGTTGCTCCTATTGTTGCATCACAGTTACATGGTGCAATAGAACAACATAATGATTTACAAACTCCACTGGCTGAAAGTACAATTATCGAACCAGTCATAATTCAAGAAGAGAATAGTGAACCACAAGAACCATTACGGCGATCTGGAAAGGATAAAAGATCTGCCATTTCAAATGACTATGTGGTTTATGCTATTGAAAGTGAATGTGACATAAGCATTGATGAAGACCCGAAGTCATTCCAAAAAGCCATGGAAAGTGACAATTCTGAAAAGTTGGTTGATTGCTTCAAAAGAAGAGATAACGTCTATGGATGATAACAAAGTATGGGACTTAGTAGAGTTGCATAATGGTTTCAAAACCGTTGGTTCTAAATGGGTCTATAAGACTAAACGCGACTCAAAAGGTAACATTGAAAGGTACAAGACTTGCCTTGTTGCTAAAGGTTTCACCCAAAAAGACGGCATCGACTACAAAGAGACCTTCTCTCCAGTTTCAAAGAAGGATTTTCTAAGGATTGTTTTGGCTTTGGTGGCTCAGTATGATCTGGAGCTTCACCAAATGGATGTGAAAACCACCTTTCTGAATGGAGAGCTTAAGGAAGAAGTATATATGGATCAACCTGAAGGGTTCGTGGCCACAGAAAAATAACACCTGGTATGTAAGCTGAGAAAGTCAATATATGGACTAAAACAAGCTTCCAGACAATGGTATCTAAAGTTCAATGATACTATATAACTAAAACAAGCTTCCAAACAAGCTTCCAGGCAATAGTCCTATATGTTGATGATATTTTGCTTGCTGCAAATGACATGGGCATGCTACATGATGTAAAGAAGTATCTCTCTAAGAACTTTGAAATGAAAGATATGGGTGAGGCATCTTATGTGATTGGAATAGAAATTCTTTGAGATAGATCACAAGGATTGTTAAGCTTGTCTCAGAAAGGATATATCAATAAAGTTTTAGAGAGATATAAAATGGATAAATGCTCCGCAGGGATAGCTCCAATTCAGAAGGGGGACAAGTTCAGTAAAATGCAATATCCTAAAAATGAATTGGAGCGTAAAGAAATGGAAAAAATTTCATATGTATCAGTGATTGGAAGTTTGAACTATGTTCAGACATGTACTCGACCAGATATCAGTTTTGCTGTTGGTATGTTGGGTCGATATCAAAGTAATCCTGAAATGGACCTCTGGAAAGCTGAAAATAAAGTTCTCAGGTACTTGCAAGGCACCAAAGAGCACATGCTTACATATAGAAGATCCGACCAGCTAGAGGTCATTGGATATTCAGATTCGGACTATGTCGGATGCGTCGATAGCAGAAAATCGACGTTTGGCTATCTGTTCCTATTAGCTGGAGGAGTAGTATCATGGAAAAGTGGGAAGAAGTCTGTCATTGCTACTTCCACTGTGGAGGCCGAATTTTTGGCATGCTTTGAGGCCACAATTCATGCATTGTGGCTGCGGAACTTTGTCTCAGGGCTTCGGATTGTCGACAGTATAGAGAGGCCACTGAGAATTTATTGTGATAATTCTGCAGCTGTCTTTCTTTTCAAAGAATGACAAGTACTCGAAGGGTGCTAAGCACATGGAGTTAAAGTACTTGTCTGTCAAAGAAGAAGTACAGAAACGTAGAGTGTCCTTTGAGCACATAAAAACGGATATGATGGTTGCGGATCTGTTAACAAAAATATTACCATCCAGGGCGTTCATTGGCCACGTCGAACGTATGGGTATTATAGATAAGACCTTGCTGTTTTGATTATGGATTGGTCATTAGGTGTGTGACACTACTATGAATTCGCTTAAAGTTATGTTTCTGTTTTATTAATTATGTTATCATTAAAGTATGTGTATACACTTAAGGTTCATGGATAAACATATGGTTAGGTTAAAATTAAGGTTCTTCTCAACATAAGAAAAACTATCTATATAGAATTATGATTGATTTGTGATACATGGAAGGAATCATGTCGCTCAATGACGTGTGACCGCCATGATTCTATCAGTTCTGATTTTATTATGATACTTAAAGGTCAAGTGAACTTGATATAAAAGGCGCGCATTATAGTTATTGAACCATTAAGTTGGAACAAATGTCAAGTGGGAGAATGTAAAAATATTTATATTTTTATGTGATTATGTGTCTTTTCGGTTTAATTGTAAAGATCAGGTTCATATTTAAGTTTAGGATTCTGATATAAAAGATGATACAGTGATGAATCGGTTTCGATTAAAGACATTAGAATCTGGGTGTATTGATGACACTCCTTCTTTATCTTTATAAGTATTATTTTTATATGATTATATAAATATATATATATGAAATGATATATATATATATATATGACAGGGTACATATATATAGTTAATAAAGGAAATAACTATATGAAAGGGTATCAATGAACGTATGTGATTGTTGGCAAGGGTTGCTACGTGTGTGTGTTTCTAAGTGATGAAAAACATCACAATTATAACAACATAAGAAAAACACACAAAAGAAACCTGTCTTGTATCGTGAGAAAACATAAAGAGAAAAAGGATTTTGGATTCTTTTATCCATCGAAAGAAATCATAAGGGTTAGAAGATCAGAGGGATGAGAAAATCAAGTTGAAGGTTTTCATCAGGCTAATAAGCATGGATCAAGATTAGTGTTTCTTATTCCATAAAAAATTGTTTGTGGTTGGATTAAACTAAATCTAGATCATCCTGGAATTAGATTTCAGAAATGAAATCATAAAAGTAATTTACAACTTCTCCTTTGGTAATTAAATATAACTGTGCTCGTTTTGTTTCCTCTAATAATTGCTTGCTCCCCAGTCCACACAAATAAAATGAGAACCTAACCTACTCAACGTGGAGCCATTAATGAATTAGCAAACGCTACCTACCCAACGTGATGACTTTCTCTTCTGGTAATTAAACAAGTGTACTCTATCTATTTTCTAAATCCGCCCAATCTTTAGAAACTTACTAAAACAATAATGAGTTTGACAATACAGTTTCTGCTTCTGCTTCTACTTGTCTTGAGATCACATCATGTTGATTCTGGCTCTATTGTCAAATACCTTCCTGGTTTTGAAGGCCCTCTTCCTTTCGAGCTCGAAACCGGGTTTGTTATAAGTTTTCTTTTCTTTTACCATGTACAAATGTTTTTTGAGTTTGAAAATAAGTAATTAGCAATCTTCTGAATGAATAGATATATTGGTATAGGTGAGGAAGAGGAAGTGCAATTGTTCTACTATTTCATCAAATCTGAGAAGAATCAAAAAGAAGATCCTCTTCTTATATGGTTAAGTGGAGGATCAGGATGCTCTTCTCTCCATGGCCTTCTGTTTGAGAACGGTAATATTTTCTTTCGCTAAGCAATCAGTTTCAATGATTCGGTGAAAGTGCTAAAAACCCAAAAAAATTAGGACCTGTGGCCATGAAGTCTGAGGTATATGAAAATGCAAGAGTATTAAGATGGGAAGTAGGACAGAACATAGGAATTTTCTCTACAAGAATATTTCACTAGTAAATATGTTTGCAACTTATAAGTATACAAAACCTTATTTAGAACAACCTTAAGACACACTTTTATTTATTACACATTCTCTCCTTGTTCTTGAATCATTATGTGATTTAAGAACCTCACCCCAAATCCCTTAGCACTTTAACTCACAAATTCTTACAAGAAATTTGCTCACCCTTTTGCTAAAGATCTCTCTCGATTGTGTTGAGATCCTACAAGGTTTTCACATGCCTATTTATAGGACTTATGACTAAACCTAATCTTGACTTTCCTTAACGATTTCTCCAAATCTTCACGAGAATCTTCTCCTTTCTTATCTTCTCCTAAGATAAAAAAAACTCCAAATATCCTTCGACGATCCTTCAAAATACTCCAAGCCTTCTCTCCAAGTCAGCTTCTCGTCTCTTGAAGTGTCCATCATGTCCTACAGCTCCAGTGCATGTCTGGAGGGTTTTTTTTTTTTTGACTTGGTAATAAATATCATCACTTATTCAATTTTTTGGTTTTTATTTGCAGTTGATTAACTAAATAAATCTTCTACATATATTACTACCAGATTGCGAGGACAAGAAAAATATACAAAATACCTCTCCTGATTGCTATGTAAGTAATATCTCTTTCCTCCATCTCTGAAATGGTTTGTTATAATATATATATATATATATATATATGTTTTAAATAATAACGATCAGATATAGCATTAGTAATGATTTAATATGAACCTACTAACATGAAAAATTGAATTTTTTTGTCTTAATTTTTTTAAAAATATCAAGGTAGATAAATACTCAATCTAACATGAAGAACTTGGACATTATATATCTACTAAGGTAGATAGATAGTGAGTATCACAAAATTTTATCAGAAATTCGCTTACTTTCCATCCGAGGGCCAATGATGATATTTTCGGGACTTTATACAAAATAATATGGTAACTTATTTTTCAATCGTATAAAAAAAAATTAGTGATTTCAGCAAGCTTCTAAGAATTATATATTTTAATATAGCTTCTCCTTGTTACTCTTCTAATATTTTTTTTTCTTCTACATAAATATATATATATATATATATATATATATATATATGATCAGTTATAAAAGTCAAACAAAATGTAAAATTATGTAAGATCATTTGTGGACATATCTTCTTTAGGTTGATAAATAATTGTTCACACAAAAGATGTCAATTTTAAGATACTTTGAAGAAACATATATGCAAGGTTGCTTTTGCAGTATTATCTGTATTATCTCATTGAATGTTGGGCCAACAACGAGAGAGTTCGCGAAGCTCTTCATGTTCAAAAGGTATATGCCAAGTTTGGTTTTAAGATCATTGACGAATTGTGATGAGAAAGTCATTAAAATCTAAATTATTGACGATGTATATATATGACTACATGGGACTAAAGGACATTGGCAGCGATGTAACAAGACTATTCCATATAATTACGACATTGTAAGCAGCGTACCATGCCATATGAATAACAGCATCAGCGGATACCGATCTCTTATTTATAGGTTTGACTTAACATTACTTTTTGATATTAGAGATCCATTAGTTCCTCATAATACCCAAAATCTAAGGTTGAAAAATATTTTTTTTTTCAGAATTTGATTCACCAAAAACAACAACACAATAAAACACTTAACATCAGCAGACTATCTTCTTAGAAAACTTTAAATCCCTAGATAGTAATTAAAGATATTTGAGATAATGTTGAAAGGTATTTGGAACCTCGCTGCACCACTTTCTTTTAAGAATTTAATTTTGCTCCCTATACAGTTATAAGTAGAGGTGGGCAAAAGTTTATAGATCGAACCAAACCATATTAAATCAAACTGAAAACAAAACCGAAAACTAGATTGTAAGATTTATGATGAACAGTGGTGATCATGACATCACGATGCCTTTCCAAGCAACTAAAGCCTGGATCAAATCTCTAAATTACCCCATTATTGATGACTGGAGGCCTTGGATGATAAAAGATCAAATCGCTGGGTGTATATTATATTCTTCTGTGTTTTAGGTTTCTCGTGTTCATTCATTTTCTCATCCCAAGCCTATCAAACTCACTCAAATACCATTATTGCCCCTTTTTTTCTTGACAGATACACGAGAACTTATGCGAATAAGATGACATTTGCTACCATCAAAGCGAGTCTTAATTAATGTTTCGACTTAACAATATTACTATCATTGCATTTCGTTGAAAGTGTTTTTAAAATGCTTTATAGCGTTTTGATTATAGGGAGGTGGACACACGGCAGAGTATACACCAAATGAGACCTTTATCATATTCCAAAGGTGGATCAGTGGCCAGCCTTTGTAATAGAGGCAAGATCATGCTAATGTTATGGTATTTAATGAGAATATATAATGAAATCGTTACCTAAATCTATATATATACGTCTAACTATTAAAAGATGGAGAGGAGAGAATGTATTGAGACAAATACCTGTTTTTAGAGGTGTTTTATTATTGTGTAAATGAATAATCACAAACTCTTAGATTTGTATTTGAAAACCCCCAAAATCTAATTTCTAATCCAAATCAGTAAAAGAAACTTTTCCTAAATATCTTGATTACATTCCTTTACTCACTCAAGCTAGACGCATGAAAGTTTGGGAAAAAAATAATTTAGGCCCGGTTTTCAACAGTGAATAACCAAAAATAATATTATCTATCAGAGCCAGGTTTCGATCCTGGGACCTGTGGGTTATGGGCCCACCACGCTTCCGCTGCGCCACTCTGATTTGTTGATAGTGAGTGAGAGATATTTTTATTTTAAAAGAATTTGTTGGTTGCACTTTTCGTTTTTTTTTTTCCCAATAACAGAAATAAAACCAATCGACATTATTCGTCCATCGCAGATATGGCATCCAACCACTCTTTTTTATTGTTTTTTTTTTTTTGCAACCACTCTTTTAAGTTCTAACATCTTCCTTATCTTCTTCTCCCAACCCAATCAATTTGTGTTACTAGACACAAAACTAGATTTCATTTTACTTTCTTAATATATTCACTAAACCAAAAATAAATAAAACTGAAATTCAAAAATAAAACTAAAAGTACAACTCATAATTTGACAACACAATATATTTTTTGTTGTTGTCTACTTATTATATTCATCATCACATTCTTCATCATTAGCATCCAAAAATTCCTCTTCTTCTTCTTCTTCATCATCATCTTTTTCACCATGTCCAAGCGATTCAAGTGGCAGTGGGGGTGCAAGGTTTGGCATGGTAGTTGCCTCACTAACTATCTTCATAATCTCCTCTACTCTTTGAGGAGAAAAGCTAATAAGATTAACATTCTTTTGGTAATAGATTGTTTGTGCCGACTCCTTTAGTTCTCTTGGCAAATTCTTTAGGAACCACGCATGACTCCGAATCTCTTTAAGCGTACTTCTCTATAACAATTACCAAAAAAGTTAGACGCATTAGTTAGTTAATTAGCGAGTTAAAAAGTATGGATGAAAATGTGTTTACGTTTGCTCGCGTTTACTTTTACAATATATGAATAATTTTGTTTTTACATTCAAGAAAAATACGACGGTTAGCTTTTGAATCACATATTAAATTTAAATTATACACACGTAACACAAAGTATACGTAACAAAAACGTTTTCTTAAACAAATAAATTAACGTATATATATATGATAAGGCAAATAAACAAATAACTTGTAATTTTGATACGTATATTTATATATGTATATAGATTTCACTTGGCAAACAAAAAGAAAGATATACTTACCTGTGATGGATTAGCAACAAATATACGAGATAATAAGTTTCTGCAACCTTCAGATATGTGAACATGTCCTGGAATCTTATACTTTACAGCCATTATTTTCTGCAATTCCAAACCCAAAATTGACATACGATTATGTGACTATACGAATTACAAAAAAAAAAAAAAAAATCATCTCATTTAATTGTATCATTTAAAGAAAAGAAACCTGGACAATTTTTCGGAAATTGCGAGGATCTTTAGGGTCTTCGAAAGGATAAGCTCCGACCAACATTACATAGAGTGCCACTCCACATGACCACACATCAACTGACTGTGTTTAGAAAGATTATGTATATACCAAAAAACCTCGGGTTATATTGTATCATAATCAATAATCATACTTGTGCATGATTTCCAACAAAAAGAAAAATAATAAATCACATTTGTGTTCTATGAATTGTGTGGGGTGTAAAAGAACAGTTTATTTATTTTGTAATTGAACTCTAAAGTAGAAGCACAATAGTTTAACATTTTTGAATTTGGATTCGCAAAAACATCAGAAGTTTTTCCACAAGTTACTCGGTTGATACGAAATGGACACGCGTCCTCTTAGCAAGATTTAGATTAATTTAAAAGGTAACAGTACACCACGAAATAATGCAAGTAATTTCCGAAAACAAATGTTAAGTTGACTAATGATTTTGATGACGTTTGCCTAACTTATCACAGAGTGGCCATTTAAATTTTGCACAGATATGGGATAAAGTCGATGATTACAGTAATCCTACAAAGATGACGACAAAACAAAATAGTTTCCTATAAGATTAGTAATAGTTGTCATGTGAGTGGAGATTATGAAACTTTTGTCGTTTACTTCTCTTTTCCAATCTTTATTGTTTTATAACTATTGAAAGTGGAATTCAAACGGCCAAAAAAACTATTGAAGGTGGAATCAGACTAGTAAAATATCTTCATTACTAATACTAAAATATGGAAGACAACAAGAAAACAAAAATATGGAAATTAATGCTTTGTGTCTTGTGAAATAATTTAATTACCTTTCCATCGTATTCCGAACGACAAAAAACTTCCGGTGCTATATATGCCGGAGTTCCCACCGTTGATTTAGGGTTGGAATGCAGAATAGAAGACTGCATAATTTTTTTTATATAAGAAAATTAAATTTGAAGTTACAAAAGCAAACAAAATGTTTTTGAATAATGAAGAAAATTATAACCTTTGAGTAGCCAAAATCACAAATTTTTAGACGTGGTGCTGGGCTACCATCAAGCAATGTATTTTCCAATTTTAGATCTCTATGGCATATTTTCTGCAAATATTAATTTGGTTCATTAGTAAAACTAAAACGTAGTATAACACAATTATATATGTTTTTAGACAATTTGGTGTGTTATAAATTTACCATTGCGTGTAAGTAATGCACTCCGCAAATAAGTTGCTGAAAGAAATATCTAGCCTGCAAGTATAATTAATCAAAAATAGTGACTCAATTTTGTTATTGTTAAAACAACCTGCATGTATGTTATCGACAAAAAACAAAAATTATCTCCAAACCTCAGCTTCGCTAAATCGACCAGCTTTTGATATCCGTTCGAACAGTTCTCCTCCAGCTGCATACTCCATTACAATTCCAAGATGTGTTGGAGTTAAGACAACCTGAATCATCATTACACCAAGTTTTATAGTTTTTGTTAATTAGCACCAAAATGCCAAAATTTTGTAGCTTCTGACTAGTTGAAATATATCATTGGACCGAATAGTCCAAGATTCAAGTTTTGGGAGAATCCAATTTAGAGTCAAAGACAAGATATGTTTGTTAACTGTATGTCAAACAAGAGATTCGAGTTAAGGAAGAAAAAACAACCTAAGATTCTCTTCTTTAGGAAAAAAAAACATTCACTTGCCTCTTTAAATCGAATAATATTGGGATGATTAAGAGATCTATGATTGATGATTTCTCTTGCAACGTTTTCATCTATCTGCATCAAACAAATCAGTTTTGTAAGAATCAGAGAAAACCCAAAATAAAAGATGCACAAAATTAAATGGACCTTGTAGCCTCGATCGATGAATTTGACAGCCACAAGCTCGTTTGTTTGTTTATTACGCATAAGTCGAGCCAACCCGAAATTTCCAAAACCCAAATCCTTCACCATCTCATACTTCTCCATGCCTAGCTACCACTTCTTGATCTCACTTCTCTAAAACCTTTAATATCTTTTTTTTTCTCAAATTTTTGTTTCTTTTTGTGAATCTTCTTTTCGTATATAATTGTAGAGAGATATATAGAGTGAGAGAGGAGGTCTTTAGTTTACACGTAGCAAATATGACAACTACTCGACCAAAGTGTTGAATGAGCTTTTCAGGATATCAATGGTCATTTGTTTTAAGTCTATTTTAGTACATTTCGGGTTAGAATTCGGTTTAATTGATTTGCCTTCTTTTTTACATTCGGTTAGGTGACAATGTTTAGTTTATGTTTTTGGTTCTTGGCAGATCTAGTGATGGTAAAAACTGATTTAAAAATATCTACAATACTAATTCAATTTATCTTAAATCCAGAATATATTATTAATTTTTTGTTACATTTGGATTTGTAGTGGAAATTCAGAGAAAAAAAAAAGAAGAGGAGATTTGTAAGTGAGTTCCAGTGATTTTGCAAATGCAAAATTATTTTGGATGGAGAGAAGAAGTCATATTCATACGATAGAATTTATGTTCTATGGAACCTCAATTTTCAAAAACCACACCAGTTTACTTGATTTGCACGCCATATTCAAAAACACGATCCTTACCTAAAAAAAACAATGTTTGAACGTTGAACAACATACACATAAGATTTGGTTGGTCTAACGTAATTAGTACACATTAAAAAAAAAATAACTATATGTAAGATATTTCAGAGATTTAATGGAGTTTCTGAAAGAAGAAGCTTTAAAGTTGGATCTTAAAAATGGAAATATTCGTTTGAATCAGATGAAACTCTAATGGTACCAAGAACATCTCTCAAGGATCCTTGTGATACCTATATAATTCAAGGTTGCTGAAAACAAAGATTTATGTTAAGAAACTCATTTCTTAGTATTTAGCTGCTGATGGAAGAAGATGTAAAACTCTGTAAAAATGCTGTTCTTATTGAATATTATGGTGAAATACAAGAGAATAGATTATTGAAAGAAGAAGAAGAACTCTCTCTCTCTCACGACGAGATGATCATCGCCATTGATAAGCTCATAACGCTTCTCATTTCATTACAACAGTCAGAACATAAACCATAAAAGGAAAACAAAGATTGTTCTATATATAAACTCCAAATCCGTAACAGCAAAGCCTCTCTCTTCACAATCGAGTCTTTGCTCTATTTATCTGCCAACTCATCATCCTGGTCAACTCTCTCCATTGACTTCCTTTGTGCTACATTCTTCAATCTTCTTCTATAATATGCTCTGAATGGCTTATCAGAAGAAGCTTCCATTTCAACTATTTCTTTAGTTTGCGACATATTTTGAGTCTCCATTTTCTTCAAAATAACAACAAACAACACTAATCTCAATCAACTCCAACACTTTAATTAACATCTCTGTTTTATTAGAGATCCAAGCCATAAAACATCTTCACAAAACCAAAGGTATTCATACAAACCTTCTTATTGACGTAATGTGTAGACATTAACTCATATAATTTCTTCATCATCATCTCTTCTTCCACCTGAAAAAAAAAAACAATGTTCAAGTCATTAATCACATCACCAAATCATTGCTTCCAAAAAGAGCTTTCTTGATCATGCATCCTTATCAAATGTTCACTAAGTTTCAACTTATTTCCTTTAAACTAACCTCAACTTTTTGGAGTTCTTGAGTCATCATCCTACGAGCTTTTATGAGCAATTCATGTTGCTTCTCCAAATGGCTGTTGATTTTACCAAATCAATAAACAATGGTAAATCATTACACGCACACACAGTAAGCGTGCGTAAAACTAAACGTAGACACACACACTTTAACATTTTGATCAAAAAAAAAATAAGACACACTTTAACAAATCGTCTGTATGTTCCTGGTCCATGCTCACAAATGGATCAACTTCTTCCTGGTTAATACCTTGTTCTGATCTCAAGGCCACCTATAGATATGCATCAAAATTACATAAGAAGATTCTTGACGTAAGCATTATCAGTCACAATTTGAGCAAGTATTGTGTAAGTAGAAACTTCAGAACATGATTCTACTACAAGCAAAAGAAAAGAAAAAAAAAGACAAGTCTTTTACTCTTTTATCACTGATCCATCGACCTACATATATCACTAGGGACAAGATCTGATTCTGAAAATTTAAAGGGTGTGCTCACAAATGCAAACAGTTTAACCGAAAATTCTGATCTTAGTTAGACAATTTATCGAGCAACTGGTGCGCAAAGACTATTTAACCATCGTCTTCAACCCTTAAGTTATATTCTTGAGATTCAAGTGATTCTTGAAAGCTTAAAAAACATATTTTTATAGTGGATTCGTTGATCCTAGGCGTACCTCAATTGCCTTTGCGATTGGAGGAAACTCGTAAATCTTGAGTCTTTCTTCAATTGCTCGAGTGAGAGAGAGAGTGCGAGAGATTTACTCTGAAACGAAGTCAAAATCAAGAGATAGTAAAATAAAGATTTTGCATAGTCTCAAATTTTGAAGTTTGGTACGTGCAAGATTAAAAAAAGGTAACACAATTTGGATTTTTATATCTCTAGTTATAGTTTTCTGTAAATCATATAAACTTGTTCATATATATCTTTTTTCATGTAATCTTGTTTTTGTTATACATATATATAATTTTGGTAGAAAATTTATATATATATATGAAATCATTGATATTGAATAATTAAAATAAAATAAAGTCAGAAATCAGAAGATCTAATTAATACTCTCCACATGTCATCAATTATGGTCTGTATGTCAACATTCACACTGCTGAAGTTTTTCAACTCAGTTTTTACCATATCACCTTTTTTTTATTTACAACATCTATTGCAGTACAAAAAAATATCAATTGTTGTAAAAAAGTTTACAACAGACCATTGTAAATAATCTTACATTGATGGTGTTGAAATTTTTTTTCAATTGTTATAAGGGTGCAATAGATATTGTATTTATCTGTTAAAATCCAATATGACAAATTTAATATTGTATAATTCTCTAACAGTTTTAATTTTCAGATGAGTGGAGAAGGTTTTATCATGTGTCAGATTGATATTAGGTAAACAGATTTTGAATTTTTAGTGAAATTTGTGTTATATTTTTATTGGCTGTCAAAATTCTGGATTTTTTTATTTTATTTCAATTGTTTAACATCAATTATTTCATAATAATTCTATATATATATATTTATTTATTTATATTAAATTTTATTATTTTTGGTATACTCTATAAATAAACATTTGTTTCATTTAATTTGGATACAGAAAAAAAAACCCATCTTTTTTATTAACCTCCAATAAACTTTTGTTATTAATAATATATGATCATAAAAAGTAAAATATAAAAAAAAAACTATGAAATAAAAATGATGGGATAAGATGTTGAATTTTATTAAACAAAATCATTATAAAAGATAAAAATTGAGTATAATGCGTAAAAAAAATACAGAAATTCTGAGAGATATGTTTTTGGATTGACATTAAATTTAGAACAACCAAGGACTTCCCGAAATCTAAGAGATATGTTTTTGGAAAAGGAAAAGAGACGACATAGGAATTGCAAACTTTCTTGTTAGCAAAAACTATCGAAATCTAAATTTAGATTGAGGCAGCTAAACTGAGAAGTGACGACGGCACTGCTCCTCATTGGAGAGAGAAACTGTAAGCAGACCAGACCTCCGATGTAGTCTCACGGGACTTCCGTTCTGGTCTTCTTCCTCCATGGTTTTTGATTTTTTGAATCTCTCCGGCGTTCCTTTCCGGCGTGGCTGAAGACTTGCGGTGTTCTTTACTGGTTGAAGACAAAGATCTGTGTTGCTTCTCCTTCCTTGGAAGATCTGGATCTGATTTCTGTCAGATCTGAAATTAGAAACCTTGCTCCCTTGTGAAGACAAAGATCGTTGCTTTTACTGCGCAACCCTTGCTTCCTTCGAGCTTGCTGCTTTGCCGCTTCTCTTCTGAGTTCTGTACTCTTTTTCATGGACTCACCGGTGATGCTCATCTCAGGAACAAGCCACAATCTTTGAGGAACTGAATTTACTTCCGCTTAAAGCGAGTTTCTCTGCATCTAGCCTTGTGCTAAGATCAATATAAGTTGCGTGACCGTCTTAACTAATTATCGTGGGAAGCTTTGAGATCTCTATGTAATACTTTCAATGGTGTCCTCAAGCTAAAGATTTGGGTGGTTCTTTTTCGACGACGGCAAAGTCCAGGATAGTTTCTAACACGCCGGATCTCCAGATTTCATCAACATTCAGAGTCATCGACGGCGGTGTTTGTTGTGGCGGCGGAGACGCGTCAACGGCGGCCAAAGAAAAAAAAAAAAAATTGACCTAATTGTATCTGGTTTCTGGGTAGCGGGCCTAATTCAATTCTGGGCTAAGCCCAAGATTTAAATATAATCTTCCTTATTTGGGCTAAGCCCAATTAAGACAAATAAAATTTCAAAGAAATAGAAATCTTCAAAAAGCCCAGAATCCAAGAAAGTCAATCTTCATTTGGTTTGGGAAGGGCCAAAAAGGCCAAAAACAAGTCTAAAATGAATGTGATCGGATAGAATTATCAGAATGCGGGAGCCGATCTGACAAAAGAACATCTAGAAGAACTTTATCATTGTTTTCGACCTCGTTTCTTATTTTTATCAGAAACTAAGAACAGTTGCTCTTTTCTGCAAGATATGTAAGTATATTTTGGCTATGATCATGTTTGTACCGTAGAACCGAGAGGTCAAAGCGGTGGTCTAGCTCTTTTTTATATGGATGAACCATCGGTTTCTATTTCTTATTCGGATGAACATCTGATAGATGTAGAAACTATTCTAGACGGACAAAAAAAGTTTATGACATTCGTCTACGGAGATCCGGTTGTAAAAAACCGAGAGCATGTCTGGGAGCGTCTCACTCGGATGAGTCTCTCTAGAAAAGAGGCATGGTTTATGATAGGAGACTTTAATGATATTACCGGAAACCATGAAAAACGGGGAGGGCGAAGGAGATCAGAATATTCTTTTATTCCCTTTCGGACTATGTTGGATAATTGTGGCATGCTAGAATTTCCATATAAAGGAAACTCATTTTCATGGGTTGGAAAAAGGCGCTCCGGAAAAGTTAAATGCCGACTAGATAGAGCTCTTGGAAATGAAGAATGGCAATCTAAATTTTCTCACACTTCTGTGGAGTACCTTAAATTATGGAGTTCAGATCACCGACCGGTTTTAGCTATGATTCGAGTGGATAATCATCAAAGAAAAAAATCATTTAGGTTTGATAAAAGGTGGCTGGGAAAACCAGGATTCAAAGAGGCGGTTATTTCCGGATGGGGTTCTTCCGATGGAATCTCACGTCGAGATTTCCACCGGAAATTAGCTGACTGTCGCAGGAGCATCTCCAAATGGAAGAAATCTCTCCCAACAAACTCGGACAAGTTGATTGAGAAATTAAAAAACCAACTTGATGCAGCTCAAGATGATGAGAACACAACGACAGAGGAAATAGAAGAAATCAGGAGAAAACTTTGTGAAGCTTTCCGGGAAGAAGAAATCTACTGGCAGCAAAAAAGCCGCGAGCGATGGCACAAGGAAGGGGATAAGAACACAAAGGTCTTCCATGCTCTTACTAAACAACGAAGAAGTCGCAACCGGATCATCGCCCTCAAGGATAACGATGGGAAATGGGTGGAGAATGCGAAAGGTATTGAACGTGTGGCGACCCAATATTTCCAAGATTTATTCACCTCGTCACAGCCTTCAGACCCAGAAAATGCGCTCCGGTATATTACCGAGAAAGTTACAGATACCTCTAACCAGCTTTTGCTTTTGGAGCCCTCCGAAGCAGAGATTAGGGAAGCTCTTTTTGATATTAACACTGACAAAGCCCCCCGGTCCTGATGGGATGACGAGTAAATTCTATCAAAAATTCTGGCAGAATTTCCGCCATGACATAGTTAAATTGGTGAAAGATTTTTTCATCTCGGGATCCTTTGATCCTAGACTTAACCAGACAAATATATGCTTTATCCCTAAAAAAGATAAGCCAAGAGCAATGACAGAATTCCGACCGATTAGCCTTTGCAATGTAAGCTATAAGATTATTTCTAAGCTTTTGTGCAAAAGACTAAAGAAGACCCTACCAAACCTTATTTCGGAAACTCAATCGGCCTTCATGGCTAGGCGTCTTATTACAGACAACATTCTGTTGGCACAAGAAAAATTTCATGCCCTCCGTACTAGTACCTTTTGTAGAGAAGAATTCATGGCTATCAAGACAGACATGAGTAAAACATATGATCGGGTAGAACGGAGCTTCCTTGAAGCCCTTATGATCAAGCTAGGATTCTCTGAGAGATGGGTCAGACTCTTGATGTTTTGCATTTCTTCGGTCTCATACCAAGTCCTTATAAATGGAGAACCGAAGGGAAAAATCATTCCATCGAGAGGATTGTGCCAAGGAGATCCTCTCTCTCCCTTTCTCTTTATTCTGTGTACTGAGGCTCTAATCTCACTACTCAATGGAGCAGATGAGGAAAAACGTATTTCTGGGCTGAAAGTAGCTCAAGCGAGTCCACCGGTTTCACACCTTCTTTTTGCCGATGATAGCCTTTTTGTAGAGCGGATATCCGGCAGGGAGCTGAGATTTTCAGGATTATTAATACCTATGGACCAGCCTCGGGACAACAACTTAATCTTGGAAAATCATCCATCATGTTCGGGAATAGAGTGGACCCGTTTTTGAAGCAAGGTATCAAGAATGCCATCGGAATTTCATCGGAGGGCGGCATGGGTATGTATTTGGGCCTCCCAGAACAAATTTGTGGATAAAAGAGGAAAGTGTTTTCTTATGTTCATGACCGCCTAAGTAACCTAGTCAATAATTGGTCTGCAAGACTTCTTTCCAAAGGTGGAAAAGAAATTCAAATAAAATCAGTCGCACAAGCGGTTCCAACCTATGTCATGTCATGTTTTCTATTACCCCAAGGAGTGACAGATAAACTGCGGAGTGCTATAGCCAATTTTTGGTGGAGTTCAAAGCAGAATAACAGCGGGATACACTGGATTGCCTGGGATAAAATCTGCATTTCCCAGGATATGGGAGGCCTTGCATTTAGAGATTTACAAGACTTTAACCTAGCCCTTCTAGCTAAACAGCTATGGCAACTTATTCAGTATCCTTCATCCCTCTTGGCTCGGGTTTTAAGAGGCAGATACTACAGACAATCTGATCCTCTAGAGGACTGAAATGTCTACTCACCATCCTATGGGTGGCGGAGTATAATGGCCGCAAAACCGTTCCTGAAGATGGGCTTGAGGAAGACGATTGGATCGGGTCTAAATACGAGAGTTTGGAGCGAATCATGGATCCCGGATCTTAGAGCTCGGCCACCAAGAGCCGCTCCGCAGATCGGATTCCGGGACCCGGGAATTTTGGTATACTCCTTCATCCGTCAAGATACAAAGCAATGGGATGTTCCCCTACTTAGAGAATTTTTCCAACCTGAGGATGTCTCCCTTATCCTCGGGTTGAGACCTAGCCGTACCTGTACCTTGGATAGATACGCATGGAATCATTCCAAATCGAGACTTTATTCAGTTAAGTCGGGATATGATCTGATTCGAAGGACAAAGTTAGAACGGGAAGCTGGAGCGATGAGAGAACCGAGTATCACGGCCCTACAATGACATGTTTGGAAAGTCCGTACACCTGGAAAGATGAAACACTTTATGTGGCAATCTTTATCAGGTTGCGTTGCTACATGTCAGAACCTCACTTACCGACATATGGGTTCAGACAAACGTTGCCTTCGTTGTGGGGATCCTGAGGAGTCTATAAACCATCTACTGTTTTTATGTCCCCCGGCCTTACAAGTCTGGGCATTATCGGACTTTCCGTCCCTTCCGGGTGTCTTCCCGAGTACCTCTATTTATCAAAATATGAGTTTTCTCTTTTGGAAAACAAAAGAGCAAGACATGACAGATCCTCAAAAGGATGTATATCCTTGGATCCTATGGTTTATTTGGAAAGCAAGGAACGAGAAAATCTTCAATGGGAAAGAAAGTTCTCCGGAAGACACCTTGATCCACGCGAAGGTGGAAGCAGAAAGTTGGAGATTAGCAAACCAACCTGAAGACGATGATGATGCTCACGTTGAGGCGTTGCCCCCCCCCTCCGGCCCCGATATCACTATCCGAGGTACCGCAGACCCCGATATGCCGGATTGATGCTTCTTGGATCAATCACAGACAGGTTAGCGGCCTTGGTTGGAGTTTTAAGGATGGCAGAGAAATTGAGATTTTTGGTATACAGGGATGTCGTAGAAGCCTCTCGGCTCTTCACACCGAGATGGATTGCCTCTTATGGGCTATGTCATGCCTGAGAGAAAGACAGATGACTTCGGTGCATTTTCAGACCGACTGTTCGGACCTTGTGAGCATGCGTGAATCACCAGCAGATTGGCCGTCCTTTATGACATAATTGAAATCTTTTCGTATACTTCGCGAGAGCTTCTCAGAATTTACCTTATCCTAATTCCGAGAATTCAAAATGTCCGGGCGGATAGTCTTGCAAAAGGAGCTCGAGCAAGAGGAGTTATTTTTTCCCAAATCGATCATAACGAGCCGGTCGAAGATGGTTCACAAACCACTTCTATGATAGGCCAAATGTGATTGTAATAATTGGATAACGGAAAAAAAAAAGATAAAAATTGAGTAAATATTGAATTAATAGATGGAAAAGAGGGTAGATGATATAGAAGATAAAAGAAATAATGTGAAATGTAAATTAGGTGTTGACTAAAGCATAACACACAGGTTGAATCAAGTCATGTTTCCAATATTTACTAAAATCTTCAAAACATGTTTAGTAAGAAAAAGAATAGTCTTTTATCACTGATATCATTCATCTACTCACCAGAGTCACTAGAGAAAATCTGATTGTGAAATCTGAAGGGTATGATCACAAAGCCCTGATGTTTAAAGCCATTCAAATTATCAGCTTTAGGCTGGCTACAAACATAAGGAACAAAATAAGTATGCAAATTCCATTTGGTTACCAATTTTTTAAGAAAGCAAAAATTGACAAACAAAGTTCTCATTTTTAATGAAAAGCAGAGGCTCTTTATCATCTGGGTCTACGTGCTTCTGCTTGGGTGAGAGAGGGTTTTCTAATTTTCTTCTTAAGTCTCATTTCCCTTTAGGTTTCTTTGATCCACTAGAATATGTTGGCTCTAATTGTGTATCGAGAAACGATCTCTGAACCACTGATGTTTGGCTTTACACTAAACCATCTTTATAGAAAACATACAAAAAGATTTGATTCGTTTTGTCTTTTGAATAAATGTTACCAAGAAATTCTGATACTACAGAGAGAACTGCTTGAAAATGTCTTTTTCATTCATCACCCACAAATCACAAAGATGCAACCTTTGGATTCTGTTTTTTTTTTTGTCTTTCCTGTAATCAGAATCTTTAGGGTTTTTTGATTAAAAAAGGTAAAACATTACACAATGGGCAACCAAAAAGAGGAGGTTCATGTGTTTCTCTGTCTGTGAATGTGTGAAGCACTTCGAAAAAAATAAAAAGAAAAAGAAAAAGAGAGAAGCGTGGTGTCTTGATTCTCGAGCCTTGAGTTGGTGGGTGTGTTGTTGTGAATCTCTAATTTTTCTGTAAATTATATATTTGCTTATATCTGTTTCCAATGAGAGTGACTCCATAAACTATGTTTCTTTTCTCAGTGACCCTTTTAAGAAACTCAATATCCTTTTTTAAGCTTTCTTGATCATAAGATTGAGCGTAGATCTCTTCTATCAGATTCTTAGCTTTCTTTCTCTTTTGGGCCTAAAAGACCTTCAAACTTTTGTGTGTAATAAGTTCTTAAAAAGAGAAAAGAAAATGAAGTTTATGAAACTTGGATCCAAACCTGATTCATCTCAGTCTAAAGGAGACAATATTAGGTCTGTAGAAACAGATTGATTAGCTCCCTGTCTCTCTGATGTTTTTTATTTGGTAACTGACATTTGTTTTTTGCTCTTAGGTATGTTGCAACTGAGTTAGAAACAGAGATTATCGTCATCATCGGCAGTGTCAAATTCTATTTGCATAAGGTATGAACAACTCTAGCTTTTAAAACGTTAAAGACAAGCAAAAGCAGAGACATATTAAGAACAGTTTTTTTCTTCCTTCTGTTTTTATGTTTATTCTCTGTGTGTTTTTTCAGTTTCCATTGCTGTCCAAAAGTGGATTCCTGGAGAAACTCATAGCAACATCAAACAATGAAGAGAAGAAGAACCACCAAATTGATGAGATTGACATATCAGAGATTCCTGGTGGTTCTGTTGCTTTTGAGATTTGTGTTAAGTTTTGTTACGGAATCACGGTGACTTTAAACGCTTACAATGTGGTTGCAGCTCGTAGCGCAGCTGAGTTCTTGGAGATGAATGAAACGTTTGAGAAAAGCAATCTTGTTTACAAGATTGATGTTTTCTTGAACTCAACTATCTTCCATAGCTGGAAAGACTCTATAATCGTCCTTCAGACCACAAGAGATATCTCTCCTAATTGCTCAGATGAGTTTAGCCTCAAGCTTGTTAAGCGTTGTCTCGACTCTATAGCCTCTACAGCTTCCATAGACACCTCCAAAGTGGAATGGTCTTACACTTACAACAGGAAGAAGAAGCTTGATCAAAAGGTAAGAAAACAAGAAGCAGTTCCAAAAGACTGGTGGGTCGAAGATTTATGCGATCTTCACATAGATTTGTATAAACAAACCATTGAAGGAATCAAGAAGAGAGGGAAAGTCCCTGATAACGTTATTGGAGAAGCGTTACACGCTTATGCAAGAAGAAGAATAGCTGGTTTTAGCAAAGGCTCAGTGAAGATCATTGACAAATCTTTGACTAATTCAATCATTGAGCTTATCCCTGATGAGAAAGGAAGCGTTTCTTCTAGTTTCTTGAGTAAGCTACTTCGAGCATCGATCTCTCTTGGGTGTGAAGAAACCGTGAAAGAGAAGTTAAAGAAACGTATCAGCGAGCAGCTTGAAGAGACAACAGTAAGTGATATCTTAATGTATGATGTAGATATGGTGCAGAGCCTAGTCATTGAGTTTATGAACCGAGACCTGAAAACTCACTCGAAAGTACCGGTTGCAAAGCTCATTGATGGATACTTAGCCGAGAAATCAAGAGATTCAAATTTCCTTCTCCAAAACTTCCTCTCTCTCGCTGAGACAATCTCTAGCTTCCCAAGACAGTCTCATGATGGTTTATATCGTGCCATTGACATGTTTCTGAAGGTAAAACAAGATCCAAATCCTCTATTTTGTTTTTGTACTTAATGATTCTTGATACTGATTATGGAAATTTTCAGGAACATTCGGGGATTAGCAAGAGCGAGAAGAAGAGAATATGCGGGTTAATGGATTGTAGGAAACTATCAGCGGAAGCGTGTGAACATGCGGTGCAGAACGAGCGTTTGCCAATGCGAGTGATAGTGCAAGTTCTGTTTTTTGAACAGATTAGAGCCAATGGTTCATCAACAGAGAACAGTACTCCTGAGCTCACCACAACGACCTTGAACACTGAGGAAGATGAATGGTACCATGAGAAAGAGTTTTGATCTTTAGCATTGTTGAATCTTTTTTTCTCATTTCCGGATCAACCAGCTTTTGTAGTAACACTAATCTTGATTCTTGAGTTTCTTGTGGTTCTTTTTTTCTGAATTGGAAACATTCGGCCCTTGACCTTACTAAATTCGGTGATGGGCTTTGTGTATGGTCCAAAACAAAACCAAAACCAAAAGATTTTAACCGAAAATCGAACTAAAATTTGTGTATAAAGTATAAACACGTACTGTATTGGTTTTATTAATTGGGAAAAAGAAAAACTGAGCGAATTTAGTTAAGAAAATCGATTAGCTAATAAGTTCCATTTTTCATAATTAATGATTTAACATATAGTGTATTTGTTGTCGATTACTTAAAACAGCAAGTAGAAAAGCAAATCAGAAAATAAACAAATTCCTTTCAAAGGAATACAATATTTTATCCAAGATTTTCTTATAAAACTATTACCTTCGAATCTGTTTTGAACAAGTTATTCTTAATTCAAAAATTCTACTACATCATTCAATTTCCCAAAAGTGTAGCTGACATTAAAGTTCAATATTCGTTTTTTCTAATATAAACTAATTTCCTCATTCGGGTTTTAAAAATTAAAATTCTCTAGGATCAACAAAAATGGAATCGCCAGGTGGCGATTTAGTCCAGTCACCAACAGAGCCGTCACTGTAATCTTCTCCAAGCCGTTTCATACACCATAAATCCTCGGCGCACGATAGCACCTTCCAATGTGGAATCCCTCGCCGGAGTGGCTCTCCTCCGGCGACTTCCGCCGCCACGACGCTGCATCCTCCTTCCTTCGCCAGATTATGCGCGTGACCACACAACGCCTTCACCATTTTCTCCGCGTATGGCCCCTCTCCGCCGATCCCGTACATAAAATGAAGCCCAAACGGCCGGAAAACCGCCGGAATCGATGGAAGCTTCAAAAACGGCAGCGTTTTATCTACTATGCGCGTCGTTTTTGCCACCACGCGTCGTAGTCTCGACGCGCCACGAACCTCTAAACGAAACGAGTCTTTGCAATTCCACACGCTTAAAACCGCCCACGAATCCGGTGGGTATTCGAGGAATTTAGCCGAACCGGGCCATGACCCAAACCCGGATCCGTAACAGCTGCCACGTGGAACGGCGACGAATGTTCCCAACGAGAGTTTGTTATTGAGAACCGAGTCGATGTCTCGAGGAAAAAACTCGGTTGTGCTAAACTGGAGTCGGTACAATGACTCAGCATCAGACGGTTCAAGCTTAATTACGGTGACCCGATTAGAAATATTGACCCGATGCGCATAAACCGGGTTAACCAAAATCGACGGTTTACGGAACTCGGAGTAACCACATTTACCGGTGAAAAGATTAACGGAAGCATCATTGTCGTTTTCTGTAGCGATATAAGAATATTCAGCGCCGTTTTGATTAAACCATTTCTCTATCTCCTTCACGAGCTTAAACCCGATTCCTCGCCTCCTGAGTAATTAAAAAACGTGAGGTGATTAGCGTTAATTACTCGTGATTAGTGATGAATAAATGATTGATTAGCGAGAATTACGTGAATTTAAGTGAAATGTAAAACGGACCTGTGAGTAGGAGAAACGCGGAGGCCCAAAACGTAAGCGAGTTTAGTGTATAGTGGTTTGGTAGTAACGACGTCGTTTCGAGATTTGTGTGTTAAGTCGAGTGTTTTGCTACCACATGTAACGGTTTTAATACATCCTCGAATCATTCCAACTAATTCCTTCTTCTCTTCCGTAACAATCTCTGCCACCTGTTACAATTTCCAAATTTTTACAAAACGGTTTTTTTTCTTCCATTAATTAATTAAACAAACTACAAAAAAAAACAAAAAAAAAAATCAACTTTTTTGGTTAGTTAGTTCATATTTTTGCCTAATCATTAGAGAAAAGAGTTAAAACTCTTCCTGATTAACAAGCTTTAGCTTGAACAACTTCAAGGGTTTTATGTTGGTTTTAAAGTCTGAACCTCTTTTTTGAAAATAGAGTCTGAACCTTTTTGATTAGTTAAGTTCATATATATATTAGCTTCATCATATAAACAAAATTAAGAATTCTTCCTGATAAGTGATTGCAAAAAAAAAAAAAGAATTTTTGTTTAGCAAAGGGAAAATGGATATTTTATGTATAATTTTTGGAGTTTTGAGTAATTTTACCAGCATGAGATAAGAAGGTGAATGTCTGACACGGCAAATTGGGTCACCTAAGAGATCGGTGAAGAGAGAGAGTTTGCCGGTTGGGCCAACTTCGCACCGCCGTTCAACGTCTTCCACGGTGGCTAAGTCCTTACTCGCATCATACTCTCTAATCTCCACAACCACCGTCATATTCTCTGTTTTCTAATAACAAAAAAAAACAGAGGAGAGAGAAAGAAGAGAGGGAAATGGAGAATTGAGAACAAGTGTGAAGTAGCTAGGGTTTTATATAGCTAGGAGGAGTGACTGTTCACTGTTGCATTAAAAAGTCAGCAGATTTTCCGAGGACATAGGATTTTATTTTATTTTATAAAGTATATAATATATTAAATAACGTGAGGTATAAGCAAAGAACAGAGTAGCTATGAGTTTTATTTATTTTTTGTTGGCTTCAGAAGCTATAGGAGCTTTCAAATTTGGAGATTTTTTTTTTTGTAAAGGAGAAAAAGGGTTTCAAAATGACTTTTGGTATTATTTTTGGTTGATTTTTTATATTAAGCCGTTATGATTTCTACCAAATAGTACTGTCATTGGAGAGTGTTACTTAACTGATATATTAATTCCCTGTTATTTTTTTTTGCTCATTTTCTCAATATTATTATTATTTTTGCTCAACTTGGAATATATAAATGTATTTAGTGAATTTTGCAGTAAACAAATGAACGTATCTAGAAGATTATTTTCTCTTGGGACGAATCTAGAAGAAATTTATATAGTGAGATTTACACGCACGAAATATGAAAGGGTTGAGATTATTCTTTTTCTGTTCAACTAGATTATTCTTATTTCATCTTCTCATTTACTTAATTAAATACTTAATATTATAAAGAGAACCATTGTTTAACAAGTGTACTTAGGAAATTATTGTTGAGATATCAGAGAGGAAATCAGTAAGGGAATCAGAATAAATTTAGTAGTATTATAATTACGAAATAATGCTTTTTCGATGTAATGATGTGAGAATATTAATGGGTGATTAAGACGAGCATTGATATCGAACTTGCCCAAATAAAAGAGACGTGGAAAGTGGGAGTGGGAAGTGGAAATGGCGGCTTATGGCTTCTATCTCTCTCTCTTTTCATTTTCTCTTTTTAATTTCAGTTGTTCATAATTATCCGTTCATGAACGTATGTAGTATAATTGTGCAATATCACTAATCATTTGCTCTTAATCCCACCTATTATTTGTCAGTGACACGGCATCACAAATGAGCAGTCAGTATAATTAATAAAATGGAAATATGAATACGAACATAAGAGTTGTAGATACACAAATTGTTTACAAACAAAATCCGAAGCATTAATCCACAAACCAAAAAAAAAAAAAATTGAAGTAGACTAGTTTGTATTTATGTTAAACTGTTAGTAGTATCCTATTTTATAATTTAACTGTTTAAAATTCTAAAGTTTAAAACTTTTTAAATAATAAATTAGCATCCGTTGTGCGTTAAACTATTATTGATAATTTTGTTTTAATTTCGAATTCGCTGCATATTAAAATTCCAGTTCACAACATAACATTTACTGCATATCTAAAATATAAATGATTAACTCTTAAATCCTGGAAAAGGCGACAGACATATTGAAATATGTCATACTACACTCCAAAATCATTACACAATTATGATAAAACACTACACTATAAAAAACAAGATCATACATGAATGATGAATCTTTTTGATATATACACATTTTTATAACAAATGTTGATATATTTATATATATATATATATATATATGATACATCTATTATCAATAATCCTTTCGTTTGTTCATATTTTGAAACCGACAAGAAAAAGACTTCATGGCTCAATAAAATATATGTATCGCGACGACATTTTTAGTTGGCAATAGAAAACAATTGATGTATTCGAGCAATTGGAGTAGTAGAAAAATCCCTCTTTCAAAAGCCAAAGCTAACAAAGTCAGGCTACTCCAATCACACAATTAATCATTTTTAAAATTCCCTTGGTAATATTCACCTCTTATCGAATCAGAATGATGGAATGCTAATCGAGAATTATTAGCAAAACAAAATCGAATAATGAAGAGTATATCTTAGCAAAGTGCGTTTGACATGGCCCCCACTTGTTTCCATAACAATCTTAAGCCTTTTTAATCAAACTCTTATAAACGATCAATTAAATTAGCAAGTGGTGTCACTAAAACAACCTAATTATTCTGTCAACATTCAAAATAAGTATGTCGCCCTATTTAGTCAGTTTTATTCAAAATAAGTATGTCGCCTTATTTAGTCAATTTATTCAAAATAAGTATGTCGCGTAAACAATTTGGATTTGATTATATTTTATCCGTCTATTCATGGGATCAAGCACTTCTTTCCGGGAGGATTGTCTAATCATAGATATGGTGTGTTCGATGCGGATTCCACCTTTTTTTTGTAATAAGATACCAATTTACGTATATCCTAATATCCATCACATACTTATTTACTGTGAGCTATAGTATCATGATCGCTATTCCCACTTCGTATAGAAACCAAAACAGAATCTTAGTATCAACTATCTATAATTCATTCACTCTGTAAGTTAATAACAAGCATTTTATCTGCTAAAAAGGTCATAATTTTACTTTAACAAGAAAAAATACTCTAATTTTTGCATAGTAAAAAAGTTATAACTAATGTAAATAACTGAAAGTGAGATCATTTACCGATCTTCATGAGAAATTTTCTGATTTTTATTTGAAATTTTCTGATTTTTATTTGAAATCTATATATTTTTAGTATCAGATTCTTATGATAATTTGTTTTTTTTTGTTATGGATTTGAAATCTAGAATTTCCAATATTTTT